AGCACTATGAGGGTTTACTGTCAGCTATCCACTGGATGAACTACAGCAATTTGCCAAGGCTGCACTGACAATATGTCAACTTACTATCTGTGAGGCCATGACCCATTGGTAAATGGCAACAACTTTACCTCCGAGCCACACACCATTCTAATTTTAAATAAACCATCTATCCTTCTTTATCGTTGTCTCTATTTCCTGGAATGGCATTTATAACAGTATTGTGGGAAGATGTTCAGACTACAGTCTGCTAGTTTGGACACTATACATCTCAGTCATTAAATTGTTCATATTCTCTTTCAATAAGTGACTGTCATAAAAGATTGGTGGAGTTGCCTTTGAGGTGCTTCAGTGCTCTCAGAATTGCATCTGGTTCATGTGTGCCTACTGCACCTGTTTTTCCTTGAAAGTTTCAACTGGGATCTTACAATGGACCAAAACCCCCTTTTTCCATATTTGAAATATCTCCTGCCTGTATTGAGACAAGAATTCTGTTTCCTCCTATTTAAAGGTCCGCCGGTAAATTAATTCAGACAGGCAAGTGGCCACACAAGGTTCCTGAAAGAATTTCCTCTGACAGTCAGTCACCTGTTGTCTCAGGCAAGAGCAAGCACCCTCAAGGTTGACTGTGTATCATTAATCTTACAGTAAGCAGCAAAACTTAGTAACTCAATGCATTGAGGATGAAAAGCCCAGGAAGTGATAATTCAAGGCTTCAAAATGTGAGAAAACATATGATATTCACACATTCAAACATGGACTATCTTCTGCTCTGTGTGTGGCCCATTGCAAAACTGATGGGAACAGTAATTACTTTGTTATGGGTCCTACTAAAGCCTTCTAATCTTTGCAATGTTGTGTATTTTACAAATTCCATAGTTGCTGGAGGTCTTCTTCTCCTGATTTGCTATTTGGTCAAGTATGTTATTTCTATTTTTCATAAAACCTTCTCACAGACAGGTGAATCAAACTTAACCACACATCAGTTTTATACATTAGTTTGGCTAATTTGAATTGTAGCCTGAAACACCAGTAATCTGGGCTCCATGTTAAAAATCATTCCTCTTAATTTCTCTGTTCAATGGCACCCTGGTTACTATCAGTAGTTTCTAAAAACAGTTTTACATTGCTGTTTGTTTAGTTCAGTCACCAAGAAATTGCTTCCCACATTTCCATTGCTTAGTACAGCTCTCTGATCCCAATGACAGAATAACTTAGCAATGTGAAGCCAGAAATCTCTTCTGATGGACATAATTTGCTTCAATGCAAACTAAGCAAGAGTCAGTGTCAACACATCCTTTATCAAATGGTAACCTGAGTGTAACTCAACCCATGGATCTGCAGAAAGCAGAACACCAAAGCAGCATTGCTATGTTGATGAATCTGAACAGGAGGAAAGAAAGGCTTCAAAGCAATCATTTAAATTAAATCAAGTGTGCTACCACTTTTCAGATGAATTGGAGCTTGTCAGAATACACTGGATTCTACACAGTAAACACAGTACGAAAAGCAATTCTGAGAAATGTGTAAGTTGATGTCTGAGCATGCAAATCTTGGAGAGTTTGCAGTGTCTGAACATCCACACAAGATCACAAGACCTTCAGGATTTATTGGAGCCCTCGGTGTTGGTAACAAGAGCTGCATTTCACCAGGGATCAGTTATTGCTTCATCCAGAATTTGCCATAGCTGCGGGGCTAACATCAATAAAGAAATGTGTTAAGAGATGCTATACCTTGTGCTCAGCATTAACACGTAAACTTAAAGGGCATTTTGCAGCCCAGTGGATAATGCATTGCTCTCCTGTACAGATCCTGACATGTAGGCCTTCATAGAATCCCAACAGTGTGAAAACAGGACATCCAGCCAATCGAGTCCACATCAACCCTCTGAAGAGCATCCCACCCAGACATAACCCATAAACCCTGCATTTCCCATGGTTAATCCACCCTAGCCTGCACATCCCTGGAGGCTACGGACAATCCACCTAAACTGCACATCTTTGGACTGTGGGAAGAAACCGGAGCATCCGAAGGAAACCCACGCAGACATGGGGAGAATGTGCAAACTCCACACTGAGAGTCACCCAAAGGTGGAATCAAATCTGGATCCATGGTGCTGTAAGGCGGTAGTGCTAACAACTGAGCCACTGTGCTCTTGTGGCAATAGTTGACGGTGTCCCTACCACTGAGCCAGAAGCTCCGGGTTGGAGTCCCACACCAGATCTGACAACCAGGCAAGGTGCCAGCCAAACATGGAATTGGCAGGCAGAGATTCCAGTTAGCTGTGTGATGGGATGTTGGAGCATCCATCACCATCCATAGGTACACGCTGTGACATGCATGTAAAAAGTGCATGTTGGCACAGCAACCCGAACTCCCTGAGGGAATAGCAACACACACTATCACAGATATTGTCCAATTAGCTCCCAGTGGCCAGAAAAATAAAAGGTCTACCACGACGATGTTTGTATGCATGTATAGGTCATTTGCAACAGGTAAAGTAAATGAGCTGGCTAGCACTGCCAGTAAACATATGGGAGTATTGTGTAGGTTCAAGACAATCACCAATTCAATGCAAGGACAATCCCCAATAAGGCTGCAAAATTACAGTCTCTTGTTTGAAAACATGTCATAAGAAAAGGAGAAGAAACATGCTCCAGCACTGACAATGCTAGCAAATAATGCCCATTTCCAGTTGGCATTAAGAATGTGGTGAAACATTATTAATGCTCAGACCAGCCATGAATTAAATATAATGGTAGAGCAGGCTTAAACAGTTGGGTGACCCTAGCTCAGTTGGCTGGACAGCTGGCTTGTGATGTACACAGACACCCACAGTGTTGGTTCAATTCCTGCACAGAGTGAGGTTACCATGAAGGATTCTCCTTCTCAACCTCTCCCCTCGCCTGAGGTGTGGTGATCCTCAGGTTAAGCCACCGCTAGCTGTCTCTCTCTATTGACTTTACCGTTCCTAATTAATAGATTCAAGGGGCTGAATAAGCCTCCTTTTGTACCTACGGTAGAGGCAAAAGGGAATCAATGTCTTCCTCCTGTACCAATGTAGACTCAAGGGGCCATGTTATCTCTTCCTTTATCTACATAACAATCTCAAAGGGATGAATGGTCTTCCCCAGTACTTATGTGAACAAGCATAGGGGAAGGTGATGGCCTAGAGGTATTATTACCAGACTGTTAATCTAGAGACCCAGGTATGTTCTGGGGACTGGGGTTCAAATTCCGACGTGGCATATAGTAATATTTGAATTCAATAAAAGTCCGGAATTAAGAGTCTAATGATGACTATGAATCCAATGTTGATTGTCGGAAAAGCCCATCTGGATCACTAAGGGTCCTTTAGGGACAGAAACTGCCAATCTTACCTGGTCTGGCCTACGTGTGACTCCTGACCCACAATAATGTGGTCGACTCTTAACTGCCCTCTGGGCAATTAGGGAAGGGCAATAAATGCTCACCAGTGACGTGGACAATACTGTGAATGATTTTTTAAAAATCCCCGTGTCAACATCATATCCTTGCATATCAATATGTGGTTCCTTTATCATGAAGATAAACTTTGTGCATCCATGAAAACTTACCTCTTTGATGGAGGGTGCATTGTGCTATACAGGTGCCTATTCCAAAGGCCTCCCGGCCAGAAAACACCTTCCACAAGCTTGAGTTTAAGCAAATCTCTGTTACCCATGTACCAATTTATGCCACCTCTATTCATTCAAGACCCTGTGCTTGCTAATCTACACGGCTCAACTGGGAGTCAACGCTTCCATGTTAAAATTCTCACCCCTTTATTTCATTTCCTTCATAGCCTCACGTTTTCCTATCTCTGCAACCTCCACCCCTATAACCCTGCAAGATCACAGTGCCACATTGTTTTCTTTGCCCCACCATTAAGACACTCATTAAGCCCTTACCACCTCGTATCCTAATATTTCTTTTACATAAGCTCGGTGTCAACTATTATCTGATAATAGTTCTGTGAAGTTCCATGGGATATTCTGCAGCACTGAAGGCGCTATGTCATTGTAAGTTGTTGTTGGTTTAGGAAAAAAAAGAGGGGATGAGCAGTCTCTCAGAGTCACATGTGAAACACAGTTTCAGTAGCTGCCAACAACAGAGTTCACATTCTGCAGTGATAGCATTAAATACGTAAAGTCAATAAAGCAACCTGGTAAGTCAATAATCCATAAAGAACCAATTGTATTTTCTTCTGATCCTTCAATCAACTCCCCCTTTATGGCAAGTACGACTAAACATATTTTTGCTGCTGCATGACTCTCTTCCTGATGGCTGAACTTTGGCCTTGGCTTACTTTAAGTTAACTCAAGTGGATGAACCTGGGAGGAGTTAGTCGCAGTTATTCTGGAAATTGTCAATTCAGTTCACCGGTCGGAAATTCACTGGGGATATACATCTCACCGTTCAACAAAGCACAAACAGCCCTCTCCTATACTTTCTGAATGCTCGCAACCTCACAGCTCCCTTTAACCCTTATCTTATTGCATGTCTCAATTGCACAGCCAGGCAAATATCAATAAGAACATCTACCAAAGTCACTGAAAGGTATTCCATCTAAAAACAAAATTCAAGCAGACAATAAAATGTGACATTATTCTGAAACAACTTCAGCAACTCAACAAGTTAACACTTCTCATTAGCCATTCTACTCACGAGGCTGTACTGGAGGTTTAGTTTACACTAATGAACCAGGAGGTACGATTCTGAGCTGAGTGACACTTAAATAAGCAAGGAGGAGACGTGGTTAACAACATTATCTAAAATAATGTATTTGTCATTGTTCATTTTGATAAAGGCTGACCCAACATTATATAGCAGCTCTGTGCCTTTTTTCCCACAGAATAAACAACACACAAAAGAAAATTAACAACTTAACCCATTTTATCTTCTATTGTTCAGAACACCCGAGACTTGCAGTTTTACTGTCGAGTTTACTTTTACTCCCTTTATCATATTATTATTCCACATACCTTTATGCTCAAATGATTATCAGTTCTGCTCTTTGGCGCTTGTGATCTGTGAGTCATGTTAAACTGGTTCAGCACCTATTACCACAAAACAACATAAAATCCAATGCATTGTTCTGTTCCAGTATCCTTCTCATTTCCAGTGGTGTACATCCCCTGTCATTTCTCCAGTTGTTCCCCTTTCTGTTAAGCTTTCCATCTCTAAGAACATAAACACCCCCTTAGGAAAAAGAACAGCAAATAATTCTCAAGGTCTGGAGTTCAACTGTGTTGGGAGGAAACTGCAAGACAGGGAGTTGGATGAACCAGCTCCGGCACTCCTGGCTTCTCTCATTATGTATACTGATGCAACTTCCCCTCCTAACACTCGAACTTTTCAAACACTCAATGCAACCTTGCACCGCAGGAAGCCAAAGCTCATCCCTGCCACACAAAAGGGATTGCAGCTTCTTTCATCCATGCTTGCAGGGTGATTTGGATTCTGTTACATTTTAAAAAGATGACTAACAACTATTTGCATTTATAATGCGTCCTTACTGCAATAATGTCTGGGAGACAAGTTCTCTTTGAGAAAGATGTTCTAAAGTGCTCCACAGGAGCTTTTACTACGAAAACTGATCTTATAAAACAGGTGGCCAAATTGAATAGGAAGATGTGGGCTAAGAAAGCATTTTAAAGTAGGACAAGAGATAGGGATCATAGAGTCCTTACAGTGTGGAACCAGGCCATTCAGCCCATACTACTCCTGTAATCCTGCAGAGCCCATGACTAATCCACTTAACCCACGCAGCATAGGCAATTTACCTAACCCGTACATCTTTGGACTGTGGGAAGAAACCCATACCGATACAGGGAGAATGTGCAAACCTTTTACAGATAGTTACTTAAGGCTGGAGTCGAACCCAGGTCCCTGGTTATGTGAAGCAACAGTGCTGACCACTGAGCCATCATGCTATCTCTATATATCTAGCAAGGGAATTCCAAAGCTTAGAGCCAAGCCCAAGATTGCTGAAACTACTACCAGCAACAGTAAAGCACTTAAAATCAGAGATATGCCAGAGGCCAGAACTGGATGAACAGAAATTTCTGGGGACAGGAGAAGAATAAAGACAAGGAGCGGTGAGGCCCTGAATAGATTTTAACACAATAGCAAGAATTTTAAAATGTAAGTGTTGCTGGATCTGGAGCCAATAATTCAACAAAGAGAGAATTGATTGCTGCATAGGATCTGGACTGAGTTAGACAGCAGGATTTTGGCTGAACTCGAGTATATGTAACGTGAAAGACCAGTCAGGAAAGCATTATAATAGTCACGTTTCAAGGGCCTGAGCACCAGATGAGTTGAGGCAGGCTCAGCAACAGGTGAAAGCATACAGGCTTGGTGGTCGAGTGGTCAGGATTCCATCTCAGTATCAAATAGGATCGCAAGGTTGTAAAGGTCTGGTCTGGCTTCAAAAATGGCAAGAGGGGAGGGATGGAGTGAGGGACAAAAAAACCGAGATTCTGGTGGGAACTTGGCAGCAAGGGCCAAAGCTGGAATAATGAGAGATGCCAAATTCTGTAGGTCAACTCGCACAGATGAGCAGGCTAAAGCTTAAAGCTGAAAATGAGAGATCGATGGTTCTGGGAATGAAATGGAGGAAATCTCCCAAAGCTGCATTGGTTGTCTCAAAGTAAACACGAAGGAAGGCATCATGAACTCCACCCATCCTAAGCTGTTTTACCTGTAGCATATGGCAAGAAAACCACTGCTTACTCCTGGGAGGTCTTCAAAGATTTGTAATGCCAATAGGGCTGGCATGTTAGTGGTTAGCACTGCTGCCTCACAGTGCCAGGTTCAATTTCACACTCAGACGACTGTCTGTGTAGAGTATGCACATTCTCCGTGTCTGTGTGGGTTTCTTCTGGGTGCTCTGGTTTCCTCCCACAGTCTGAAGATGTGCAGATTAGGTGGATTGGCCATGCTAAATTGGCCATAGTGTTCAGTGATACGTAGGCTAAGTGGGTCAGCCATGGGGAAATTTAGAATAACAGGGATAGGGTAGTGGGGTGAGTTTGGGTGGGATACTCTTCAGAGGGTCGGTGTAAACCTGATGAGTCGAATCCCTTCCCTGGGGATTCTTTGATTCTAATGCCAAAGTAGTAGATACTATTGACTGAAGAACATTGGTAAACAGAGTGAATACAGAGTTGAGGAAGAGCCATGTAAACAGTGAATACCAAATGATGCTTTTGAAAGCTTACTTTTATCAGCGCTTAAATTGTCAGCTTGATGACAATAGAAGAGGGATCAGATCTCAAAGGAGAAAAATATTATAGGGGTATGATGATATGTTAATAGGATTTACTTAAAGAAATAATTTACCTTTACATAGCACCTTTTCCAAGTTAACTCAAAGTGCTCTTAGAAAATGAATTATTAAAAAATTGTAGCCAATTTCTTTTCAGCTAAGTGTGGCAACTAATGTGTGCACAGCAACATCCCACAAATGGGCAGCAACTGGGTCCTAAAGTTCAGTACCTCAATAGATCCAGCAGCAAGAAGGTAAATACTTTTTACCTACTTGGGGCAATTGAAAAGCAACCCAACCTAGCTGGCAGGTTGCCTTGCTTTCACAGATGGGAACACACCAACTTTTGCACCTACAGGAGATCAGGGAGTTGGCAAGTAGAAGGCCTTAAGTTGTCATTAAGTGACTACTGGTAGTGGCTTGAGAAAGTCACCTATGGACAGTCTTGCTTATAATCTGGTTAGTAAAATGGATAATTTCCCCCCCGGGCTAACTCGTCTCATTATTTCTCCTTCTCATCACCTCTCTTGGTGCCTCCAAGGAGGGAAAAATTGATTTCTTTTATTTTGGTTGTTAATTAAGGCATAAATATTTGATCTAATTTATTATTGTCACATATACCTGGGTACGGTGAAGTTTTGTTTTGTGTGCAAGACAGACAGATCATACCATACAAAGTGCATTCGGGTAATAGAACACAGCAAAGAACACAATGTTACAGCTGCAGAGATGGCACTCAGAGAGTGAGATCAACAATAAATTTAAAATTTGAGAGGTCCAATCAAAAGTCTAATTATAGCAGGGAAGAAGCTGTTCTTGAATCTATTTGCACGTGCGTACAAACTTTTACAACTATTAGCCAGGTATAAATATTAGCCAGGATAGTGGGGAAACTTCTGTTATTCTAGATTTTTTCAGGATATCTTACAATCACCTTGGAGGGCAACAGCTTCTCAGATTAACCAATCATCTGAAAGGTGACAACTCTGACAGCACGGTGCTCCGATAGTAATGCATTGAGTTGTCAACCAAGTCAGGTACTTAGGCCTCTGGAGTAAGCCTCGGGCCTACGGCCTTCCCAAACTAGACCCAGTCTGCTAACCATCTAACTTTGGTTGACACCCATCTTGGTGCTGGCATCATATGTTTAGAGCAATGCTAATTTGATAATAAAAGTGCTTGTGATTTTAGACCAACCCTACACTGTTTCATATCATTATAACTGACCAGTAGATAAAAAAATGAGCTCATTTTTGCTTTGGAACTAAAAGGGAAAAAAGCAGCCTCACAAAATAAAATTAAATAATTGTAATACATTAGCATATGCACTGGCCTTGAACACATAATGTAAACCTATCGCCTAAGCTGATGATGTTGATGCACAGAAGCCATTTGTGTGGTAAAGAAATGTGGCCTTCAGGTTTCATTCCCACTAACACATTAACACACGTTATCATAGTTTGGTCTTCAGATGAAGCCAATAACAATCTGAATCAGCACAGAAGAGGCAGAGAGGGTTGTATAGTGAGATAAAAACAGAACAGCCTAGTCAGGCGCATTCGTCAACACTTTCTGCTATTCTTTGGTTCGAGTCAGTAAACTGATCTCAGCCTGTGTGGTCTTGAAGGATTGTGACAATTTAGTCTCAAGGGCATGAGGCTAAGGAGGGACCATAAATCAACAGGTACCATTCTGAGTCATTACCCAGTAATCTTATACATGTTCATGTGCATCACATCAGCAGCATGACAGGTCTGCCATCCACAGTGGAATAACTACCTTGGTATTATGCTTAACTCTGAACTCAGATTCCTCGTCCACAGGATCAAATCTGCTTGTTTCTCTCTCTATAGCATTACGGTCTCCATCCACATCTTTCTTAGAGCTACTAAAATCCTTTTATCATGTACAAACTTTGTGATCCAATGCTCTGCCTGCTGGTTTTCCATTGTCCATCCTCCAAAAATTCCATCTTGTCCAGAATTCAGTTGTCTGCATCTTCTCACACATCATTCCCTGCTCAACCCTCATGCAAACTTTGTCCACCTATACTGACTGGCTTTCCCCAATGAACATCCAAGTCAAATGCCTCATCTTTGCCATCAAATCCTCCCATTTTCTTGTATGTCTAATGATCATGATGAACAGCTCCCGCATTAAAACTTTCAAAACCTTTACAGCCACTGACTTTGTGCATTCCATATTTCAATGGCAGAAATGTTTTGGCTTTCCTGGAACACCTTCTCTCGTGCTTCAGAGAGCTTTCCTTTAGAAATCTTTCCAAAGCCTATCTTTCCAAGCTGCAGTCAAAGTCACTTCCTATAACTTCTGAATCCATTTTCCTTTATTATTCTTCATGAAGCCCCTTGGTGCTACACAACTCCAAACTGTTGCCTCTTCAGGACCTTCATCATGTGAAAGGAGGTAACTGCTGAAAGCAGAAAACTAGGAGCAGAATGGAGGAAGCAAAGCCAAAATGAATCAAATTAGCAATAATGTAATTGAATAAAAATGTTTACCTTTCACTGAGAGAAGAAGTGTTTGGCATTTTAATTAGAACATCATTGATCATGAATTTGTCAAGAAAGAAAGAGGATCCTTCAAACACACTTTTATGAAGACAATATTCCTTTAATGAAAAATACAATGCTCTTACTGTGTCTCTCTCAGATCATTGCACACTGTTTACTTGTTGCAATTTATTCTAAATGTTCAATATTCTTTTATAATCAAAACAAAACACAACACAGTCTGTCATGAAGTACAGTGAACTCCTCCACTCTGATCCTGCCGTCACACACTAAAGCTGCATCTTTTATCAGGCTATTTGTGAACACTTTCTACCCTTCTCAGATCAAGCTGCACGTATTAATCTTTTGTTTCCCACACACTGTGCAAAGAAAAGCACTATTACATTCACAGTGAAAACAGCGCCAAGGTTAAATCATATAGCCAAGTGGCTGTTTATTCTGACTGTGCAACATC